AAATAGATAGCTTCCTAGTTAGGCTATAGGTATAACAGCTAGTGTAGAACCCCTAGCATAGCACTAACGCTTCGGGCAGACTACTTAAATAGGTAATCAAAAGTTGTACATATGACTAGTTGTACTCTCGTGATACTGATAAAATATGTAAAACTGGTGTTAAAATTAATATTGGCCTACCGCTTGTACTAATAAAGGGCCAAGGGCCTAAGTGGTCACCTTAATATTTAAAAAAAAAAAAAAAATTTATTTACCTCAAGAAACAGAAACTACAAAAAATATATCTCAATTGGCAAGATAAGAAAACCCATTACGAAACCCTCTTGACATTTGAAAGATTGAAATCAGGATTTCAACACTTCCAATTGATATTGAAGAAATACGAATTACCTAAAATAAGACATAGATTTAGAACTGAATTCAATCAAGAATTGGAAATTTCAAACGCTTACAAAAGCCTACAGTATAAGAAGTGGTTAGCGCATAACCAAGAAATACATTCTAAGATCCAAGAAATCGAAAGAATACGAAATTTACAAGAAACTATATTATACAAAAATGAAGCAATATGTCAGAAAATACAAGTCCAAACAAGATATCTAAAGATATTAAGAAAAATAGTAGAAATTTCAGCAACAGGAAGTAAACTAAATTACGAAGGATATGAAACTAGGTTACCTACTGTTGACCTTCTACTTACAGGACAGTACCAACCATTTTAATGACAGAAACAGAAAAATTGGTTGAACTCTTAGAACAACGAATTAATATCTATCGAAACCTAACTGATATTAATAATTACCTCAAAATTGAAACTGAAACCGAACAACGAATCAAATTAGAAACCTATAAAGAATTATTTGAAGAATTAGGAAAGGATATAGAAAAACAAATAATTACAAGAATAACCAAATCATGAATTTATTAGAAAACAACTGGACATGAAGATGCCCAGGATGTAACATCCTATATCCATACTACCTCTTTAAAGAATTCGATGGAAACAAAACAGTATTCTTTGATCATTGCAATAATTGTAGAAATCAATTTTATGCAATAGCACAAAGAATTTCAAATATTGATCTCCCTACAAGAAGATTGGTACAGGGAATATTATTCAAGAAAATAAATGGCAAACCATATATATCTCTATCAGAAAGAATTGATCCAGAGAAACCTTACTGGCGACACTTCCAAGGACCAGGAGGAAAAGGAAACCTTGATGTCAATGGAAACCCATATGAAACAGCTAAAGAAGCATTTTTCAGAGAATGCTTCGAAGAAACCAACTTGGAATTACAAAAAGAAAAATTAATAAACATTTGGGAAGAAACTGCTCTAAGTAGATTGGAATGGACGTTGCAAAAGAACTGTCCGATACTTGAAGCAAAATATAAAATTGAACGAATTGTTTTTATATACCCAGTAGACGACTGGATGGAACCTCAACGAATGGAACCCACCAAGGCCTCAGAATGGCAATGGTATACATTCGAAGAAATAATGATATTACAACTAATCCCTATGTTTGCACAAAATTTAGAATTAATATTCGGAGAAATTAATGCTTATTATGAAGAAGAAGCATTATACGAAAGAAACCCCGGAAAGCAACCATATGATGAAATTGAATTGCTTGATGATGAAGAAGACTATAAGAAATCTCTTGACAAGATGATGAACCAGGATTTCGAATCAGTCAATAAAATACCCGAATATGTCACCAGACATGAGATTCTACGAATAGAAAACTACGTAGATAAACTCCAAAAGAAACTTCAAGAAACTAAGGATCGAATCCGCAGAGCTAATAAAATTATCAATGACCATTACAAGACAAAATATCTTGTAATTTTCGAACCAAAAGATAGAACCCACGTGGTCGCATCAATAAAGAAACCAACATTAGCCGAATTAAAGATTCGACCCTATATTTGGAACAAACTCATAAACCGTAACTTTACATACAGAACCGCTAGAATGATAAGGAACAATCAAGAACAATTTCTTATCAAAATAAGAAACCCGAAACAAAATGACTCATCAGGATCAACAGTGACAATCGAATTTTTATATTCACAATACGCTAATCATACGTTGATCTAGGAACGACATTTTAAGAAATAAAGCCGAAAGACTTTGGAAACTCAATCTGACCATAAAAGGAGAAACCCGGTGAAATCTATCCGGACAAGTAGATCGATGCTTGAGCCTATTTTAAGAAGGACCAATGACGCACCTGGGAAGCATTGACTATCTTAAGCAAAATTACTATTTGTGCAAATTTTTCAAATTTTGGGGTATTTTACAAATGCGCCGTAATGTTATTTTAGATTGTAATCTTTATATATATTTAGTGATAAAGGATATTCTCGATAAAAATGAATGAGTTTGAAGTTTATCTTCAAACTGAAAATAATGCGGAAAAATTATTTTGGAAAGGTTTTGAATTTGAAAAAAAGAGCGAACGAACTAATGAAGACAGTTATAAAGCATTTAGATGTTATGAAAAATCTGCAACTTTAAAGCATAATATTGCAAAATATCGATTAGGTCGTTGTTATGAATTCGGAATTTATAAAGCAATTTCTATAAGAAGCGCATTTATAAATTATGAAGAATCTGCTAACAAAGGTTATGAGTTAGCGATGTATCATTTGGGACGACTTTACGAAAAAGAATATAATAATAACGACAATGCATATATATGGTACAAAAAAGCTGCAGAAAATAATGATGGTGGTGGTAACTTTAAACTTGGTTGCTTTTATCACAAGGGAACAGTAGTTAAAAAAAACGAGGCAAAAGCTTTTGAATATTTTAAAAGATCTGCTGAATTGGATCACGTTGTTGGAATGTGTCATTTCGGTCATTGTTATAAAAAAGGAATCGGTGTTAAAAAAAATTTTAAAACTGCGTTATATTGGTATGAAAAATCTGCAAATAAGATCGATAAAGAAGGAAATAAAGTAGGTGATGCTGGAGGTGCGAATAATGCAGGTTTTTGTTATAAATCTGGTGGGGATAAAGTTGAAATTGATTTAGAAAAGGCAAAAAATTATTTTAATTTGGCTTGTGAATTAAATGAAATTAACCAAACAAAGTATGAATAACTTTGTAGTTTATTTATCCAATCTATTTATATATTTATATTAATTTATATTAGTATATTTTTATTAAATTTAAAAATTTTTTAATCATAATAACTTTTTAAGATATATCACTTTAAAATATATAATATTTTTATATGATAACACATGAAATTTATTCTTTTTTTTTTAGCACTATCGCTACATTTATTACACGTTTACGAGTCATTCTGCTCCTATGATCTTGATTTTTAGATTTGTATTGTTAAAAGAAGGATTTGTGTATTGTTATGCTCGTATAAAACAAAATTGTTTAAAGCTGATAATTGAATCAATTTTCAAATGGTGTGAAATGTCAAAAGAATATTTTGTTTGGCACTATTGATCATACAACTTTTTATCCTTACGTATCTTTGCCCAGCTCTTAGTAAATACAAACCTAGCATTGGATTTAATAATCAAAGCAAAAGCTAATGTGTTTATATTCTATTTATAATATAGCACTTGCAAAAGTCCTCATGTTTGATCAAACTAATGGAGAACTTAACTATAATAAAGAAGTTGAATATTCGTAAAAACAACCTAATTTTTTGGTGAATTTCTTTTTAATTATTTCATTTTATCTTATTTATTTTATTTTATTTTTTTGTTGGGTATGAATGTTTTTTTATATATATAGCACTTACTTTGTTAACAGCTAGTAAGAACTTCATTATTTTTATTTTAATTTTGAGAAATGACTTAATACCATTAATATCTCAAAAATATATATTTGTTTAGCAATTAGTTTTCTTGTATTATTTTTTAATATGAAAGACAATAGGTACTATATTTACTTCCAATGAACTCTTTAATTTTTTTTTTCTTTGAAAAGAATTATTCTTACAAATAAATATTTATATTTTGAATTTATCCAAAGCTTTGACAATAATTACAACTGTAGCTTGATTTGTTTTACCAAGTATGTTTTAAAACCTATAAATTTACTTATTATTAACATCTAACTCGGAAATTTTTTAATTTAGTTATTTACACTATCTTCACTATACATGAAATTGATGCGATCCCATTTGATTGATAATAAATAAATGCCTAACCATCGGAGTTAAACTTGGCATAATTGTATCAAGCTTACCCATTCGATAGTAACAATAGTAATAGAAAAAAGTATAACAATTAATAATAAATACAATGTGTAACCAACTACTCTCAAAACCGATATGTATAGTGGGACAGGTTTTGCATCATTTTTGAGAGGTTATCAGATTTGAGAAATATCACATGATTGGTCAATATAAATGGCCAATCAAATTACAAGATTTCTATATTTAAATATGTTCATATGAATCTGAAGTAGGACAATTTGAACCCGAGTTAGACCGGAATAGGATCATTTGAACCCGGGTTGGGTTCAGATGAACCTGATGTTACCATTGGGTTTTGGGACAGCTTCAGGTGTTGACTCAAATGATGAACTGGGGAAGGTTGGTTTCGGGTTGTGGTCGCACCTTTATTGGCATGGACACCGTCGATGTTACACGACTGATTTTTCACCCGGTGTGCAACATAAAAAAAACTATTTTACAATACCAGATCATCCAGACAGTACATGTTATGATTATAATCCCACACCATTTTTTATTATTAAAAATGGTGTGGGATTATAATCATAGCATGTACTGTCGGGATGATCTGGTATTGTAAAATAGTTTTTTTATATGTTGCACACCGGGTGAAAAATCAGTCGTGTAAAATCGACGGTCGCCTGTAGGTTAGAATCGGGATGAAACTCAAGATTCCTACGATAATATGTATTTATGACAAACAGGCATTCAAGATATTAATTTATGAATTCGGAACAGGCCATGGGAAATCTCTTTATTGGAAGGGCTCAAAGGGCAGCCATCTTCCCTCGGGGATGCTGGTATTTATATTTATATACATGTTCAGGTGTCGCTAAAGAGATATCGTATGATTCCCGTCAATGACATTATCTTCCCCAACTTCATCTACCGTCTGAATGTTATGCCGACAGAATTACCATAAGTAACTAAATCTAGTAATTATTACATAATATCGATGGGCATATCAGGAAACCTATAAATTCATACTAACACTACTTACACTAATGTTACGAATTGATCGTAACACCGGAATGGGATTATTTACGTTCAAATAAACCAAAAGCAACCACTGATCCTATTGGATACTGAAAAGCCTGTCAACAAAGTGACAGGGCGATCATTATTGAGAAATCAGATGACTTTATCAGATCACATGTTCAATTTTTTCATTTTGATGTATAGCACTTGCTGTATCTTGTCTGATGCAGGTATTTCCTGAACAATATTGTGATAGCATATGATTGTCGCCTTATAATGAAGGCCGGCTCTATCGTCCCGCCCTACCAGCTACCTATCCTTCATTTGATGACTCATAAATTAAAGAGGTTTAAGGATTTTATGTTTGATGATTAGACACCACAACTAGTGCAAGGTCTTTCTTTATGTTGGTGATTAGGTTCCGTAGCTTCAGAAGTGGTGTAAAGACCTAATGTTTGGCAATTAGGCTCCATGACTGCGATAGCAGTACAAGGACCTCGTGTTGACAATTAAGCATCTGGTTAGGCATCCGACTGTGATAGCCTCATGTTAGCGTTTGAGCGTCACGGCTGTGATAGCAGCGCAAGAACCTCATATTAATGATTAAGCTCCGCGGCTGCGATAATAGTGCAGGACTTCGGGTTGGTGATTAGGCCTCGCGGTTACAATAGTAGTGCAAGCCTCATGTCTGATGGTTAGGCTCCGTGGCTGCGATATGACTTTATGTTAAGTGATGGGGCTTCGTGGCTACGATGCAAGGATCCCATGGTTACAATAATAGTGCAAGACTAATGTTCGATAATTAGCTATGCAAGGACATCGCGTTTGCTCATTAGGCAGGAACCTCATAAGTCGATTAGGCACTGTAACAGTTCAAGGGCCTCGTGTCTAGAGATTAGGCTCTGTGGCCGCAATAGCAGCGAAGGACTTCTACAATAGTAGTGCAAAGACTTTACATTTGATGATTAGGTCCATGGCTGCAATAGCAGTGCAGGGACCTCTCGTTTGGTTATTAGGCAAGAACTCCATAATGTTTGATTAGGTTTTGCGGCCGTGATAGCAGTGAAGGGCATCGTGTTTGTGATTAGCAGTGCAAGGACTTCATACCGTAATTAGGCGCCGCGGCTATCGCAAGGACCTTATTTTTGATGATTAGGCTCTGCGGCTGCAAAAGCAGTGAGGGACCTCTCAGGCTCCTTGACTACGATAGCAGTGCGTTTGGTTATTAGGCAAAGCCTCATAATGTCGATTAGGCTTTGCGGCTGCGATAATAGTGCAAGGATTTCATGTTGCAATTAGGTTCCGCGGCTGCAATAGCAGTGCAAGGATTTATGGGTAAGTAATAATACCCACGTCGCTATATAACACTAATGACCGATTAGTGATTTTGGCCGAAAGTGAAAAAATCGGCTAAAGAAAATTATCGGCTTAGCCGGTTGGTTTTTTTAAAATCGGCTGATCGATTTGGTATAGTCAAAATAAAATTTGACTTTAAAATCAAAATATGCCATTACGAAAATTTCCGATATAGAAAATGAATGAACCTAAAATATGAGTAAAGTTGAACTAAAAATTTTTGTAAATTCTGAAAATTCCGGATTAAAGAACAAAATTAAATAGTACTGTAGGTTCGACCAAGCCGACTAAGCTGATAAAATTTATTGGCTTAGTCATAGCCGAAAAATTATGCTCGGCCAGAATCACTATGACCGATTCTCGTTACAGCTATGTGGATTCTTCTTGGCTCCCATGCGAAGATGCAATAGATTATAAGATGGATAGTTAGTTTCGGATGTGAATATTCCTTAAACTAGATATTTCAATATGCATGATATAGTGCTTGTAATTGATAGCGAGCGGAATCCCCATATGTTCGTCTTCGTCCAAATAAAGTCATCTGATCGAGCAATATTAAGGACTATCGATACCAGAAATGGCAGGTTATTGGAAATTAAATATGGAACAGGCTTGATGGATTAATTTTTGATCGATTATCACAGGTTATTGGTTTTGACAATATCAGTTTTGAGAGGGTCGACAGTAGTAGTATTCCAAAAATGGATCCAAAATGGACAAGTTCTTAGTTTGAATACAAAGTATTATTTTGACATGATTTTTTAATTCAATTTAGACTAAATAGTTAAATCAATAAAAATTTTAAAATTTATTTTTAAATAAAATAATTTTTTGAAGTAATGGTTATACGCAATGAATATATCTTTAAATAGATTAATTCTCATCTAAATACAAATATAGTATAAGAAATAAATTTGTTTAATCACAAATTTAGTAAATATAGTGCTCACCAGTAGGAATTTTAACAGAATCAATAGGTTTACTTGTTGAGGCTAATAATATAATAATTACTTTAGATGATTAGTTTAAATGAATTAGTTTAGATGAATTATTAAATAAATATATACCTTTAATTGCACTTGATATTCTTCGAGTGTTGATAATTTTGCTCGTATACATAATATCTGAATGTTTCTGTGAGACAACAGGTAATGTTTTGACCTTCTTATTTGCTTCTAAGAATTGAGTCTTAATTTCTTCATCATATGAATGTTCCATGCTATTAATCCAGTCTTGAAGTTTATCACGAACTTGCCAAACATATGGTCTTTTTTGTGGATTAGAGTGCATGCATTTCTTAGCCAATTCAATATAGCAATCCGGAGTCCCAGGAGCAAATCCAGGCCGTAATCCAATGCAAATCTTTACAGCAAGTTCAGTAAATTCATAACCATCGAAAGGTCTTTGTCCAGTTGACATCTCAGACATGATGACACCAAAGCTATAAATATCAGCTTTATCTGTAAAATTTTGACCAGATAGAATCTCAGGAGCAACATAAGGAACAACACCGTAAATACAGCCTTCAGAATCAATTTCATTATACTTTTTCGACAATCCTA